CTGTTTATAATTAAGTTGGTTTCCCACCGCTGGGCTTCCATTGGTGCAAAATTGTAATAAAAGTTCAACAAATCAAAAAAAAAAAAAAATCAGCAGGAAACCCTCGGGGTTATAGCAAAGCAGATATAACTGTGTCTGGGATCTTCGGAAGGACCATCTTCTGTGCCTGAAGCAGCATCCGAAGTTACTGTTTAAAAGATTCCTTGTAGATGGAAGACTTATATCTCAATTACGTTTATGTGAAAAATCAATAGCTTGGGACACTTTTGGTCTCCCCCCCCCCAAAAGCCATGTCACTTTTTTTAGAAGTCAGAGAATACTCGACATTCACATTTAGAACAAGTGGCTCAGTGGCTAAGATGCTGAGCTTGTCGATCGAAAGGTCGGCAGTTCAGCGGTTTGAATCCCTAGTGCCCCATAATGGGTTGAGCTCCCGTTACTTGTCCCAGCTTCTGCCAACCTAGCAGTCCGAAAGCACGTAAAAAAAATACAAGTAGAAAAATAGGGACCACCTTTGGTGGGAAGGTAACAGCGTTCTGTGCGCCTTTGGTGTTTAGTCATGCCGGCCACATGACCACGGAGACATCTTGGGACAGCGCTGGCTCTTTGGCTTTGAAATAGAGATGAGCATCACCCCATAGAGTCAGGAATGACTACACATATGTGCAAGGGGAACCTTTACCTTTACCTTTATAATAAGCTCTCTCTGTTGCAAAAATGATATTTTTTTTTAAAAAAAGTTTTGTGTGAGAGCTTATGAGCTGGTATCTCTCTCTCTCTCTCTCTCTCTCTCTCTCTCTCTCTCTCTCTCTCTCTCGCAAATTTCAGTGCTTACTTTGAGAGCTCTGGCAGGGAGTTGAGATTTTCTAGGGTACAAATGATGAAAATGTCAATATCTAACTGCTACTTAGTGCAGAGTGTGGCAGTGTAATACTGGGTTTCCGTTAAGCTATAGAAAGGTCAAGAGCAAAAAAAAAAACCAAAAAAAAAAACCCAATCAGGATTAAACTCGAGAGGATACTGGATATGGTCAATAATCTTCACTATTCGGAAGAAATCAACTGTTTGAAAGGGCTTTGGTCCTAGTGTACGATAACGATTCTTTAACAGTTGTGCCGTGTTGCGTAGAAGGAAATTTCCACCAGGTTTAAGCGGAGCCAAGGAAATTGGATGTTTACGCCTGTTTGCTTCCACATCTCAGTCAAAATACTTGACACAAGGTAATTTTCTGTCATTTTCACAGGGTCAAATCCTAATTGGTGTTAATTGTGCAGCCAGTTTTATCATTACGGGAAGGAATGGGCATCTGTTTTGGATGAACGGTTGTGAGGCACAGTTCCTTGGAGGAGAAAAGTTGCCTCTCGTGCTGTCGCTGGCCCCAGAGGAACATAAAATGCACAATATTGCTTTAAAAAATAAAAAAATAAAACACGTAGCAGCTAGATCAGTAGTGGGTCGCCCCCGGTTCGGACCGGTTCTTTAGAACCGGTAGTAAAGATGGCAGGAGGCTCCGCCTACTGACCCCAATGTCATCAAGAAGCTTCTGTGCATGCAGCCCAGTGGTGGGTTTAATTTTTTTTTACTACCGGTTCTGTGGGCGTGGCTTGGTGGGCGTGGCTTGGTCGATGTGGCAGGTGAAGGATATTGTAAAATCTCCATTCCCTCCCTACTCCTAGGGAAGAATACTGTAAAATCTCCATTCCTTTCCCAATCGAGGGGAAGATTACTACAAAATCCTCATTTCTTCCCAATCAGCTAGGACTTGGGAGACAGAGAATAGATAGGGGTGAAGCTAGACAGAATTTTTACTACTGGTTCTCTGAAGTACTCAAAATTTCCACTACCAGTTCTTGCGAACTGGTCAGAACCTGCTGAAACCCACCTCTGATGCAGCCCTGTTGCGAACTGGTAGTAAAGGTAAGTAGAACCCACGACTGAGCTAGGTGTCGTTCAACCAATTACTGGTATCTACACAGGCAGGAGATGGGAGGTACGTCATGCCTAGGTCCACAGGCTGAGATGCAAACCCAGAAATGTTTTGGGGAAAAAAAACAAGCTGCCTTCTCATCAAAGCCCAGACTCAACAAAAGAATGAACAGATGTTATGCAGTTTGTTTTAGCTATGTTTAAATTATATAATGAGGATTACTTAAATTTGATAAATTAATAACATTGTTAGCGTGAATTTGATTAATATGAATGATACCCAGGAACAACTTTATACCTAATAGATAAATGTTTAGCTTGAACAAGAAAGATAGAGATGAAGATAAAGATGAGGAGTTAGGCATTTTTTTTTGTTTATTCATGTTTAAAAAATATAATGAGGATTACTTAAATTTGATAAATGTGATAGAGATTATTAGAGATTAACACTTTTTAAAATGTTTTTAATAGGTTTGTTATTTTTTTTTTAACTATGGGGCCAAACGCATATATATCTTTTTAACTGTATTTTAATGTTTGTATTTATGTTTTTATTTTGGCTGTGCACCGCCCTGAGTCCTTCGGGAGAAGGGCAGTATATAAATCTGATAATAAATAAATAAATAAATAAATAAATAAATAAATAAATAATATTGTCACTGTGAATTGGATTAATAGGAATGATACCTAGAACCAACTCTGTCCACACACAATATGGATGTATAGTTAAAAAATAATAATAATATTTTTTTTAAAAAAAGAATGACCTTCATTTACACTGATGGGCATCACCCACACTTCTTGGTGGAAAGTCATGAAGATGACCTTGAGAGAGACACAAAGATGCTGGAAGCATTTTTTTGGAGCAATGAGAACATTTGGAAGTGACTCAGGGAGATACCTCCCTGGTTCACTGAAGAGAGAGAAAGTACAGCACAAACAGATTTGCCAGATTCTCTTATTATAGTCAATCTCAATAAAGATAGTTTCTTTCTTTCTGCAGATTTCATTTCCTGATATGTCTAACTGACATTAATCTTGACTAATCTCATACTCTCTTTCAAGAAGAGCTAAAGGTCTTGCTTTTGTTGGTCTACCAACTGTCCACCAAGTATTGTTGCAATACCAACACCAGACGGGTTTACAAATAACTGACTTGCAAAAGGCCATGATGAAAGGAACACAATAGTTAGAGACAGTTGGCACAAAATTAATCTCAGCTAGCTGCAGCCATGCAATCTACAACACAGCTGATAATTCTGGAGTTTATCAGAGATATCAGGAGAAGAATGAGCCCACTTCCTGACTTTCACAACCAGGGGTGAAATCCAGCAGGTTCTGACAGGTTCTGGAGAACCGGTAGCAGAAATTTTGGGTAGTTCAGAGAACCGGTAGTGGAAATTTTGAGTAGTTCAGAGAACCAGCAAATACCACCTCTGGCTGGTACCAGAGTGGGGTGGGAATGGAGATTTTGCAATATCCTTCCCCCAGGAGTGGGGAGGGAATGGGGATTTTCCAGTATCCTTCCCCTGGAGTGAGGTGGGAATGGAGATTTTGTATCCTTCCCCTGCCATGCCCACCAAGCCACACCCACCAAGCCACACCCACAGAACCGATAGTAAAAGAATCTGGATTTCACTAGTGTTCACAACTCATGTGAAATTGCTCATGGTGAATTGTTTATGGTATTGTTTAAAACCTTATATTTTGGGTCTGAAAATTCATACTAATTTCTTTTCCTTTTTAGCTTTCTCCAATTTCATTTATTATATACATTTATTTGTATTTGATTGTTAGCATTACGGCTCTAATAAAGGTCAGATTTATTAGGTCAGCTCCACTACCAAAATAACAACCCAACTTCCCACAAGAGAAGCTGTGTAAGAACACTATTTTGATGAGCATAAACATAAATGCAGGAACCCTGAACACTGGAAAAAGGAAACACAGCATCTATACAATGTCTTCTAACAAAATGAATACCAGCTAGGGGTGAGCAGCATACAATAGATCAAACCCAGTCCAAAAATGTTAAGAGAATTCCTGAGGTCCGGGATTCAGACAAATTAGCCATCAACAAACACAGAGAGATAAACAACATCTACATACCAGTGGTGGGTTGCTCCCGGTTCTGTCCAGTTCTATAGAACCGGTAGTAAAACCGGCGGGAGGCTCCACCCACCTGGCATGACATCATCATTGATGATCTGTGCATGCGCAGAAGAGCGCACACGTATGCGAGTGAAGCAAACGTGTGCACACGATCCCGCTGCAAACCGGTAGTAAAGGTAAGTGGAACCCACCCTTGCTACATACTGTTCTAAAGAAACAATAAAAAGGTCCCAAAGGAAGACCAAAACATTTCCTCACCAGCAAACAACATCCAGATGAGCAAAGATTGACCCCCAAGATTAACACTAGACCAGAAATCAAGTGAAGAAAACCCCAATCAAGGAATTATCAACTCAGACCAACAAGCTAACAGTAAGCAATAGTCTATTCAAGGAACCACCAAGGAACCACCAACCCACCAACACTGACAGGGCAAAACACTAGTATATAAAAATAACAGCAAACCCCACTCCCTTCTAGCACTCATGATCTAACCTAGCTTTTTTTTTAAAAAAAAAAAAATTATATGCCGCCCTTCTCCGGAGACTCAGGGCGGCTTACAATGCGTTAAGCAATAGCCTTCATTCTTTTGTATATTTTATACAAAGTCAGCTTATTGCCCCCACAACTGGGTCCTCAATTTACCTACCTTAGAAAGGATGGAAGGCTGAGTCAACCTTGAGCCTTGGTGAGATTCGAACCTGCAGTAATTGCAGGCAGCTGTTCTTAATAACAGGGTGCTTTAGACCACTGTACTACCAAGGCTCTTGGTAATGAAGCTTGGTAATGAAACATCTGCAAGAAAATCACCAAGATCAGAGAACACCAAGGACCTCTCAAGTTAGTTTTCCTTTGACTTGATGGACAAGGTAGATATAGGTTCTTCAATTAGTTTTCTTACATCTTCATAAACTTGTCTTCCTAAAGTAGATAAATAATCTACCCCGCATTTCACTACTTACCACAAAAACTGAGACGTGTCTCTCATGTGGTGCTACCAGATTCCATTTCTTAAGCTACTTCTTTCTTAAGGCAATGTTGGGCATGCATGGATTAGCTCAGCAGTTCCACCAACCGAATCAACGAGCTATATAAGTGAGGGGAAAGTAGAGGGAAGTGATTTTTTTTTTAAAAAAAATCCCTTTAAAACAAATCCACTCTTAGCCAACTCATAATTAATTTAGATATCTGTTGGAGCTAAGATGTCTTGTTTTTAACTTTAATTAATATCTGTGTTCAAAGTTAAAACATCACATTAGAAAGCTGAGCTTCATAAAACTGGCAGAAATTCCATGGAATACTGCCAGTAGTGATTAATGAAGAATGAAGAATCAACCTGCTGAGTCACCTGGGATAAATTTAATGGGTTTAAAAAAAAACTTATTAATATGCTGCTTGAACAATGTAATAGATTAGAATTTAGGGGAAAATAACATATGGGCTTATATATAAAAGTTTCTAATGATCGTTTTGAACCGATCTTGAAAATGTTCTATCTAGGTCTGGTGGAACAGTTTCTAATAACAAATTACAACTGCTTTAAAAGAACAAAATGATTTAAATCACAGCCTGACCTTATTTTAAGCACACCATTAGAGAAAAGCTAGTTGATATGAATTTCAGAGTGGATTTTGGACATTTCTGATGGGTTTAAATCCTTATTTTTGTCAGTAAAATATTTTGTCTAATGTATTCAGGGAGAAGAGTCACCCATTATAAATTGGGGAGAAGAACTGGGTTAGTCTATGTAATACAAGCAGCATCTCACTGATACCAGCAGGTAGATAACATATTAAGGTTATATCTGTAGTCAAAAGAAGTTATAAAGATTATCCCATAAAGTCCAAATAAAATAACGACAATGTCTTCAGAAGAAGTTGTCATCATGTTCGGTTAAAACTTTCTAAAGGATGGTTTGGACTGCCTTTGAAACAGGGTAAATATTTCATACTTCAGATCAGGGGTGAAATCCAGCAGGTTCTGACAGGTTCTGGAGAACCGGTAGCAGAAATTTTGAGCAGTTAATTTGGAGAACTGGTAGTGGAAATTTTGAGTAGTTTGGAAAACCAGTAAATACCACCTCTGGCTGGCCCCAGAGTCGGGTGGGAATGGAGATTTTGCAATATCCTTCCCCCAGGAGTGGGGAGGGAATGGGGATTTTTCAGTATCCTTCCCCTGGAGTGGAGTGGGAATGGAGATTTTGCAGTATCCTTCCCCTGTCATGCCCACCAAGCCACACCCACCAAGCCACACCATGCCCACCAAGCCACACCCACAGAACCGGTAGTAAAAAAAAATTGGATTTCACCACTGCTTCTGATCCTTTCTATGGGCCAGGCCCAGGAGTGCTATTCAGCAGGTTCTGACAGGTTCTGGAGAATCCGTAGTGGAAATTTTGAGTAGTTCGGAGAACCGGCAAATACCACCTCTGGCTGGCCCCAGAGTGGGGAGGGAATGGGGATTTTGCAGTATCCTTCCCCTGGAGTGGGTTGGGAATGGAGATTTTGCAGTATCCCTCCCCTGCCACGCCCACCAAGCCACACCCACAGAACCAATAGTAAAAAAAATGAATTTCACCATTGGCCAGGTCACTAGAGCATGTTCAACAAAAGATGGTGAAAATAAATAATATCGTAGAGCACTATGCGCATCCAACAAGGCATGGGCTAAAATCTGGATCAATGATATTAGATATTAGATTTATTTATTTATTTATTTATATTGGATTTCTATACCGCCCTTCTCCCTAAGGACTCAGGGCGGTGTACAGCCAGATTAAAAAACATGCAGAACAAATATTAAAAACAATTAAAAGATATATAAATTTGGCCCAATTAAAACTCATTTACCAATTAAAAACGTTTAAAACATTTAAAAACAGTTAAAAATTTCATCTTAAGCCAGCCCGGCTTGTTTAAATAAATGGGTTTTAAGGGCGCGACGGAAGGCACTGAGGTCTTGGATTCTCCTTATCTCTGGGGGGAGCTGATTCCAGAGGGTAGGTGCCCCCACAGAGAAGGCCCTCCCCCTGGGGGTCACCAGCCTGCATTGTTTGGCTGATGGCACCCCGAGGAGGCCCTCTCTGTGGGAGCGCACGGGTCGCTGGGAGGTCGTCGGTAGCAGCAGGCGGTCTCGCAGATAGCTAGGCCCTATGCCATGGAGCGCTTTAAAGGTGATAACCAACACCTTGAAGCGCACCCGGAAGACAACTGGGAGCCAGTGCAGCTCGCGCAGGAGCGGTGTTACATGGGAGCGCCATGCTGCTCCCGTCACTACCCGCGCTGCTGCGTTCTGGACCAGCTGGAGCCTCCGGGTGCTCCTCAAGGGGAGCCCCATGTAGAGAGCGTTGCAGTAGTCAAGGCGAGAGGTGACGAGGGCATGAGTGACTGTGCACAGGGAATCCCGATCAAGAAAGGGCCGCAACTGGCGAATCAGGCGAACCTGACAAAAGGTCCCCCTGGTTACAGCCGTCAGATGTTCCTCCAAGGACAGCTGCATATCCAGGAGGACTCCCAGATTGCGAGCCCTCTCTGTGGGGGCCAATGACTCGCATATGTGAGAAGTTATTACACTTCTGTTTATTCCTACATGTTATCTAAAATGAAGAGCTGCATTGGTGGAATCTCAGACTCAAAGGGAGAAGAAACTCAAAGTCTCTTGTAGCCTGACACTTATGGTCCAAGAATGAGTATGTTTTTGGCTTGAAACCTCAAATCCTTAGAATGGTTTAATCCATTCTTTAAGGCAAGAATTCCAATCATTTAAACATCTGTTATCATTCCTTGCTTTACAATTCATGATGAGCTAAATTAGTCCCAGCATTTTCTCTCTTACATGCCCCTCACTGAGTCAAAGGGAGGGACGGGGAATGTAAAATGTGAAATTATACTTCTAGGTTGCTTTTATTCTCTCCAAGGTAGGGTCCTTTCCACCAATACCACTCTGTCCCGTTCCCACCCACCCCCACCAGCAGTTATCGTTTTAACAACCAATGAGCAAACTTCTAATGCACCCAGGAATAAATTTAGCTGCATGGAGAAGGCCTGACTGTCAGGAAGAGGGGGGGGGGGGAATAACCAATTAATGTCAAATAGATTACTTTTTGCCTCTGCAAGAAAACATTTGTATAATTTTAGCAATGTAATTTAAAAACAGAAAGAGAGGGGAAGAAAACTGCAATATCCTGCTAAAGCTTTTCATCACCAACAAATAGGCCAAATGTTTTTCTTTCCAGAGTTTATAATAAATTGAGAAAAGATGGAGAATATTTTATACGGCCACGTTATAAAGGTACCCTGCCTCTCAGATTCCCAAATTGTCTACATATGCACACAATTCATATACGCTTTCTATGATACTTCAATCAGTTTGCTGTGCATTTTACATTCATTCACCTTAGGAATGTAAATCCATCACAGCTGGCACCACAGAATGACTGAGATCGCACTAAACTTTGACTGAGAAAACATGTGATGCCTAAATATAAACAACTGATAATTTTGATGATCTGAGTCACAAGGCATGTTTAAATAATGGATTGAGGTTCCCCAGCGTGCTGACTCACAAGCTATCCAAGTTCAAATGTTGGCTTATTTTAGCATGCAAACTCAACCAATGGTTATAGCTCAGATAGCAATAGCACTTAAGTTTTATATACCACTTCACAGTGCTTTACTGCCCCTCTAAGTGATTTACAGAGTCAGCCTACTGCCCCCAACAATCTGGGTCCTCATTTTACTGACCTTGGAAGGATGGAAAGCTGAGTCGACCTTGACCTGGTCAGGATTGAACTCCTGGCAGTGGGCAGAGTCAGCCTGCAATACTGCATTCTAACCTCTGGGGAGTGAGTGAGGGAGGGAGGGAGGAAGGAAGGAAGGAAGGAAGGAAGGAAGGAAGGAAGGAAGGAAGGAAGGAAGGAAGGAAGGAAGGGCAATAGCAACAGCACTTAGACTTATATACTGCTTCACAGTGTTTTACAGTCCTTCTCTAAGCAGTTTACAGAGTCAGCATCTTGCCCCCAACAATCTGGATCTTCATTTTACCCACCTTGGAAGGATGGAAGGCTGAGTCAACCTTGAGCCGGTCAGAATTGAACTCCTGGCAGTGAGTAGAGTTCTCCTGCAATAACTGCATTCTAACCACTGCACCCCCATGACTCATGTATTTATTTGTTGAACAAAGAACACCTATAATTTCCCTAGGATGAGAAAATATAACGAGCAGGCAAAGTATGAGTTGGAAAAGTGTTCACTTCAAAAAGAGCTTAATCAAGCTGAAAGAAGATTTCTATTAAATGTAGAAACACACCCGGGAAGCATGATTCAGTCGAATAACTGCTGCAAAGCATCCTTTCTCCTTTTCTATTCTATAAGGGTAAAGGAAAAGGTTCCCCTCTCACATATGTGCTAGTCGTTCCTGACTCTAGGGAGCGGTGCTCATCTCCGTTTCAAAGCCGAAGAGCCAGCACTGTCTGAAGACGTCTCCGTGGTCATGTGGCCGGCATGACTAAATGCCAAAGGCACACGGAACGCTGTCACCTTCCCACCAAAGGTGGTCCCTATTTTTCTACTTGCATTTTTTACGTGCTTTTGAACTGCTAGGTTGGCAGGAGCTGGGACGAGTAATGGGACTCACCCCATTAAAGTCGGCACTAGGGATTCAAACCACTGAACTGCCGATCTTTCTATCAACAAGCTCAGTGTCTTAGCCACTGAGCCACTACATCCTTTTTTTTTTTTTCCTATTCTATAAATCGCTGCATATCCCTGCAGTGAAAAGGCATTCCTGGGATGATGCTTCCAGAAAACACATGGTTGAACTATCATGATGTAAAGCCAGCTTCTTGCGCACATGCAAGCAACATCACAATTAATGTACAACATGGGTGTTCTCTTCTTCTCAAGTCATCACCTCTGTTATCATTAAGTATTTGACTTACAAAGGCTGGCAGGGAAGAGCATACCTTTCAAATTCTCACTGTATGCAACCTCTAATGTTTCCTGCTTGGTTAATAGAGAAGAGGTCA